CCGGCACCTACGCGCCTCCTCCCCCACCACCTCCATAGTTGCCGCCGTTGCGGTACGACTGGCCATAACGGTTGGCCATTGTGTAATTCGAGGATCCTAGGCTGCTGGCTACCGAGTTCGAGCGTTCTTCATTATCGGATCATTCTCTGGTGATGGGGTCAAGTCGAGCTGCGTGGTGAGGCCGGCGCCTCCGAGTTCCTGAGTATGGTGATGTGTGAAGTCGTCGGAGCTCTTGTTGATGGTCGTTGGTATTCTCTGCTGCCGTCTGGCCCCTGTCAAGCAATGCACCTCCCCCAGCTGCGGGAATGCAGGCGGGGATCCACTCGCGAGGGGTACCTGTTCAACAAGGTACTTGGTATCTGCCATTAGATCGCTTTGTTTAATAGATGCCCTGTAATAATGTCATGAGTTTGAATCCATAGAATCTCTATTCTTGAACAGTCATTCGGTACAATTATTTCGTGATTTGGCTTGCTGTATACCAACCTTCAAGCTGTAAGCTATTCCCTGATATGCCTGCAAGGTACAGTGGATTGCTGTTTCCTTGGGCTGGGGCCAGCAGCCAAGCTATCTCGGATTTACACTCATTCATCCCGCCCTCAAACCCGTTTGCATCTTGAGAGGCTTTCTCTCAAGTTAACAATTTTTAACACTATCATTTTAAGGTGCTGGGTTGTAGATGACATCAGTAGCACGACATATCCCTAGTTTGACCAGCCACTCATCAAACACCTCTCCCCAAAATGGCACAAAACAGCAATGTAGCTCGATTCCCCATCGATGTCATCCGCCTCACAGCAGCCACCACACAAGCACCCGTTAAGAGACCCAGAGTAAGACCGACGACCACTCACCCCTTCACACTATAAACATACTAACTTCTCGACCAGGAATTCACCTGCTTCTCCTACGACAAGAACCACAACCTCCGCCTCGACGACTCCTCTATCAAATGGTACTACCCACCTCAACCCCCCGCCCTCCCCGCCAACCTCTCCGCCGGCTTCGACAATTTCGACAAGCACGACAGCCAAGACGAGCACCTCGACAGCCTCCTCACAGCCATCGCCCACTACGAGCAGCAAACCAACCAGCCCATCGACGCCAAGTTCGTCACGTGGCGAGGCATGATGACCAAATTCCTGATCGCTCCCTATCCGTATGACGACGACGACGGCTTCGAAATGAACGCCACGCTCTTCCAAGACTGCATCTTCATCGAAGAGAACTGGGTTTTTGCTGCCGAAAAGAAAGCCAAGCAGAATTCAGGGTGGAAAGGTCCAATATCACAGGAAGAAATGACGTTTTGGGGTTACAAGTTTGAGACGCTGGCTACGATACCGCGGCCGTGGGCGGAGACGTCCAGGGAGGTGATTGAGAATAGGGGCGACGAGGTGGTGAGCAACAAGGAACAGTATTGCTCTGTTGTGAGGTCAGAGATAGGGGGGAAGGTTCTCTGTTTTGGGGGGGAGGTGGATGCTATATGGGATATGAAGCCAAAGGAGCCGGGGGCTAAGATCAACTGGGTTGAGCTGAAGACGTCCAAAGTCATCCAGAGCCCGAGGGATAAGTTCCAATTCAACAAGAAGCTGATGAAGTTTTGGGCACAGTCGTTTTTGCTGGGGGTGCCGAAGATTGTTGTTGGTTGGAGGGATAAGAAGGGGATGTTGGTTTCGTGCGAAGAGTATGAGACGAAGGAGATTGATGAGAGGGTGAGGAGGGAGAGGGATGGCGGGCAGTGGCCGTGGATGCCGTGGGTGTGCGTCAATTTTGCGTCGGAGATATTGGATTGTAAGTTGTCCATCTTTGTTGTTGAAAGAACCTTCACAGAGCGCCCTTATTTTCTTACTGCCCCCCTCCCTACCTATCTACTTACCCTTCCCATAATATAGTAAAAGGCCTTGAAAGAAAATTAATAAGCCTTTGAATTATCTCTAAAGGCCGTTAGTTATCTTTTAAGGCTCTCTCTTGTTTTTTTGTTTTTGGTGACATTTCAACTGACTGGTGATGTCAATAGGGATCCAACAAGTAATCAAGGCCGACCCTCAACAGTCAGGAGTGTGGAGGATTCGATTCGATGCGAAGTCAAAGGTTGTCGAGTTGTTCAAGGTCGAAGAGACGGGTCATGGAAGAATTTTAACGGATGAGTTTGTGAACTGGAGGACAAGACTTGCGTCAAGTAATCAGCTTCAAGATGGGTAGGCAGTGATGGAAACTTGAACGAAAAAAAGAAACAGTTTGATGGCAGCGCCGCGGACGATAGACCAGAAGGTAGGGGGGGGGGACCATTAAGGTGTGGGTTGAAACGTATTTGTTTATGTAGCGTATCAACATCATTGTACTAGGCATGAAATGAAGATGTGTTTGAAATGTGATTATTTGGAGCTATGTTTGATGGTTGAGCCGGGCTGAAGTGGACTTTGTTGAGTTGGCTGATGGTGCACCATAGACAGCATAAGGAAGGCTCAACAGCTGTAAGTGCTATGTCTTGTTTACTTGGTGATGGGGTCGACAACAGGTTGCTACGGTACCTGATGGCGCATTGAATCATGTGCGTTCTGGCAGTCTGAGTGAATACCACTGGCCCTCAACAGTTAGATGTGGCGATCTGAGCATCGGGCTGTGTGGAAGGCGAACTTTTCTATTTATGTGGTCTGCCTCGGGACCTGGGCTGTAGATCTTTTTGGATCTGGTGATGGATGACAAAATATGGGGTTGGTGTTCAACGCTGGCCGGCCGGACAACAAGGTCCGAACGTCCGTAAAAATGTGCACTCGTAGCAAGATAGTCTGAGGGGCGTGACATTAAAAGTGATAGCATCATAATGCTACCTCTGTACCAAAAAAGTTTGGTACCCGGTGATTTGGGGTTTCCTATCTGGATGTCTTGGTTGTTTCCGAATGAAAGGAAGATCGCCATTGGGCATCACTTACACCTCACATGCACCTTGTATAAAAAGTACGACAGCCTGTGGGCGGTGCAATTTATTCGGGACATGGAAGAGCTTATTGCCACAGGGTATTCCTGTAGTCACACACACGGCCAGTTAATCAGGTAACTATCGACAGGTTGTGAAGCTTGTTTTTTTGCTTGTCACGCTTGTGGAAGAAGGGGGATCAGCAGTGAGGAAGATGCGGGGTAGGGTCGAGATTAGTGGTTGTCAGCGGCGGGCAGTGAACGTGGTTGATTGATATGGTTGCTTGCTTTGGGGCCCGGCCGGTGTTGCTGGCCATGTGGTCCATCCGATGATGGATTCTGTGCCTGTGTGTTTGTTGTGCTGCAGATGCTGTGGTGTTGTCAGTGTCAGTCTTAGTGTAAGTGCGTGCTGGTCGGCTGGTGAGATGAGGCGAAAGAGATCAGATCGCTGTTCAGCTGAATACGGCGGGGTCTTTTGCGGTTGCTAGTGTCTAGTTGCAGTGTGCTTATGCAGGTTGGACTATGAATATCACGAGAAGATTTTAGTCGGGATAGCTAGCCAACGTGGATTCGTAACGGCAAGACACAGAGGCTGAAACAGCAGGTGGGTGTTGTTGTTGTCGTCTGATAAGGAGTGTTGGCGCATCCAGTGGGAGGTCCTGGTGTAAGCCACCCGCTCTGTTCTGTGCTGCATGAGAGGGAGATCGAGAGTTGCAGATGCAGAGATACCGGTACACGGCACACAAAGAGTCCTTTTGCTTGGATATATTTGGAGGGTGAGTTATGTATGTTTAACGGAGTGTGCTACGGGGTAGCAAGGAGTTGTTTATAAGGGGCCAGAACGTCGGCTAGTTCCTTGGGAGAACCCACTGGCATATCGAAATGAAACGGACTGGTAAAACAGAACCGAACCGTTGACTCCTGAAAGAAGCGTGAGAAGTTCCCCCAAACACGGTCGCAAAAAGCTTGAAATTAGCAGCGTTCAAAAAAATAAAATAAAAAAAAGGGTGACATTCCGTTCGGCAGGTGAGTGCTCGCTCTGGCGAAATCTTTCATGCCACGATGCCATGGCCTGTCCCTGATCTTGCATTGCACGCCCGGCGTGGTGTCTGGAGCGAAATGAGCCAATCAAACAGCACGGCCCTTACACGGTGAACCCCGAGGGTGGGTAAGGCAGGAGGCAGTGGTGGGGCAAATGGCCCCTTTCCATTTAATGGGCTGCGGGAAAGGCATCCTTCCACCCTCACCGTTTTGAAGCGCTTACATTGGTCAACTTTCCTCTCCTTCCATGCACGGAGCAAAGCTTGGAACATCATTGATCGTTGCACCGAGAGTGAAATTGCAAACCACTTCTTGTTTTCTTGCTGCTTGCCCGCTCCTTCTCTTCCTACCGCACGCAGTCCGACACCTACATCATCGGGCAACGTCTCTCTCTCTCTCGGACACGCACCACTCGTTTGCAGGTCCATTTTAGCTCGAGCGCCTTCGTTGTTGATTTTCGGTTGACGGGTTCCCCTTAACTGGGCATGACGTGACAGCCAGTAGCCAGTACGTACCGTCTGCGCCGGGGCACGTTTTAGTCTGCCCGACCAAAATAGGAGACACTCGGTTTTTGACCGACACTCGCAGCACAGAAAGAACAGTGAACACTGAACACTGAACACAGCACAAGCAACACAAGCGCTACGCCGCCGCGACCCGGAACCAAACACCAACACGATCGCTTGACTAAAAGGGGGAACATACAAAAGTGTCGACGACATTGTCGCTGAGGACGCTTCCTGCTGCGACAACTCTACGTCGACGCGCATCCAATCGTTTTAGACGCGGATTTCGTTCTCAACCGCCAGCAGTCGCATCGCGCTGTCCTCCCTCGCTCGCATTCCGGTCTTGTCCCTGCTTTAACACACCACACCGACAAAACCCCTTTACGAATTTCCCCTTTCTCGCTATTGCCCAGATGGCTTCGTATGTGTGCACACTCTGAATAGTGACAACTGGCGAATGCTAATGCCCTGACTACAGATTCGGCAGTTTCTTCCGCTCTATGTGGCACGATATCACCAGCTATGACCGACGTCAGCGCAATTCCCAGTCAATCCCTTCACCGACTCATACTAACTGATTATGCAGATTCCTCATTTGACTCTCCGCAAAGGACAGGGCGCCATGTTCCTCTCCATGGCCGTAATGGCCTCACTTCGATAGCAACCGCCTCCGATTCTCGCAACGACATTTCCTCCCCTTACCACGACGAATCCACCCGCCCTTCGGCGCACTTTGATGCCGCCTATGCCCCCAACACTCCCGGTCTTCCGATGAGCCCCAGTGGGAGGCCATATTCGCCCGGCATGAGGTCCATCAACACGCGGGCATCCGTCCCACCCGATGCTTTCGACATGCAGAGCCCCACCGGGTCGATTCCGATGCAGTCTTTCCAGGATGGCCAGCCGCCCGCGCCACCGATCCACAACTCGTGGAATCGGATCGACGCCTGGGCCGAGGAGCACTACATGGAACTTTGGGATCAGCTCTGCGAAGGCGCCACTAACAACGATTTGAACGATCTCGAGCACCAGCTCGACTGCTCCCTTCCTCAGGACGTCCGCGAGTCCCTGATGATCCACGATGGCCAAGAAAGAGGCGGCAACCCCACGGGCATCATTTTTGGGTCCATGCTTTTGGACTGCGAAGAGATTGTTCAGGAGTGGGAGAACTGGGTAAAGGTCAACCAAGAATTCCTGCTCGAGGCGACATTCCCCAGGCCCGCTGTGCCTTCCAAGATTCTGGGAGGAAGCAGCCACGCTTCGACTTCGGCGGCCTCGTCCAGCTCGGCCCCCGTTTCGCCCCAGAATGGCAACTGGAGACAAGAACTGCTCGCTCGTCAGGACAGTGTCCCCGCCGGTGCCATCCAGAAGGTGTATGCGCACCCCGCGTGGATTCCTCTTGTTCGCGATTGGGGTGGAAACAACTTGGCTGTTGACTTGGCGCCTGGACCCAAGGGTACCTGGGGCCAGGTTATTCTGTTTGGTCGCGACTACGACACCAAGTACGTAGTCGCGAAGTCGTGGGCTCATTTAGTGGCTACTGTTGCGGACGATCTTGGCAGCGGCAGATGGTTCATCGATGATGATTCGGGCGAGCTTAAGCTGCGCGAGTTTAAGAGTGCCCGCGTTGAGCCCGGTTATTTCGACATTTTGAGGTGGAGGTGTGACCAGAAGTATGGTCGTACCGCCAACAAGCGCAGGTCGATGGCTCCTCCAAGGGGTGCAACCAGTGCGCCCACTTCGCCCTATGCCAACGCGGCTGATTCCAACGCTGAGCCTCGTGGTCGGTCGCTCCAGAGGTTGAGCCAGATTTCTCCCATGCCCAGCCCAATTCGGCCAGGTGTTGGAAAGGCGAGCCCATTGGCGAGAGTGGCCGAGGAGGTTCCCTTGACATCGGCGACGAACAGTATCAAGGTGCCGGAGAAGTTGGTTGAGGTCGACACCCCAAGACACAGCGGAGAGGAGAACAAAGAAAGTGCCCCGAGGTTAGCTGCCCTTGCTGCAAATGGCGAGGTCAGCCCTCCTCCCGAGGTCACCATCACTGAGCCTTCTCAGACAAATGGCACGTCATCAGCGCCTGGCAGCAAACGAAGCAGCAAGCAGGCCACCGTTGTTGAGGTGGAAGAGACGACACTGAAGACCATTGAGATCTAGAGCTGCAGGGGCGTGATGACTAGTTTCCCAAGGGAACACACTGCGCTCCTGCTGGCTTAAGGAGCCGATAATTCTTTTTTTTTAACAAATGGGGACACAACGAAAGCAATTAACGGCGTTCTGGTGGCTTCTTTTTTTCTGTCATCACCCATGACCTCACAATTGGTGGAAAAGCTTGTTGTCTTGTCTGGGGGTTTTCTCTCTCATTGGGGCGTTTAAAGTTCTCTTCGGTTTATCGCGATCAACCAATCGCTGCTTTCTTTTTTCCAAGGGAAGGCCATATTTTACTTTTTGTACCATATACACATGGCGAGCCTGTTTTTCTTGCGGGTTGGGGATGGATGGATGTAGGCATTGCTTTGTCTAGGCCATTTCTGAAGACAGAAGATGCATGGATGGAATGGACATGAAGGGTTGATGGAAGTGTATAATAGGGGGTTGTAGAAGAGATGTGTGAGGGAGGTGGAGGTGTTGTAGTTGGAGCGATGGCAGCAGAGAGCGTGGCATGCATGGTATTCACTGGGTTTCTGGTTTGCAGAGGAAGCAGATATTTGACGGTTAGTGATAATTGTGAAGAGTATCCATCAACTGTTTTGTGGGCTGCGAAGTAGTTGTGAAAAGTGTTGGTGAGGGTAGGGGTAATCACGTGCTAGTTTCAGCCTTTGCCAAGAAGGGATTGGTCTGGTTGGTTGGTGGGTCATGTCAGGTTCCCCCAGCCTTCCGCTTGGGACCAACTCCAAACGTCATGCGTGCCTGCTTGCGTTGCACGCCTGCCGTCTACGTTCATAAGCTTCCACACCCACAACACTGCGATTCGCGGCGACAACGACGACAGGTTTTGATATCGCGATTGATTGCGGCTGAGAATACGAGAAGTATTCCAATCTTGTGACAGATAGCGATACCGCTGATCAACTCGATTGCGATACCGAAACCGGGGCCAGTCGTCACTGAGCTACGGTTGCAACATTTACGAGCTCTACCTCTAACAGCCCCGAACTATTCAACTCCGAGCAAGGGGAAACACATCACATAAAATACCATCATCATGTCCTCCGAAGAGCGCCTCTTCCGCTTTAGCAAGCCAGCATGGCTCTCCAGCGTCCAAGCCCGTAACGCTGGCGTGTACCTGGCCGGCGGTCTCGTACGTTTCCCCCCTCCTTCCTCTCACTCCTCCTCTTACCCAACACTTCTCTTACTCGAATGTCTGTGTGTCAAAGTTCTCCCTAGCATTCTACATCCTCCTCGACTCGGCCGTCTGGTCGGCCTCGCCCCGCAACGCCTCCCCCCTACACGTCAACTTTGTCGACTGGCTGCCGTTCGTCTTTTCCTCCCTGGGGATGCTGATCATCAACTCGGTCGAGAAATCCCGGCTGGCGTCGGATAGTTTCTCTTATTCCGGGTCGGGGGTGGCGTGGAAGGCGAGGGTGGTGCTGTTTCTGGGTTTCGCGGCGCTGGCGGGCGGGATGGCGGGCGGGGTTACGGTTTTTGTGCTCAAGTTTGTCGTGCCGGGGGTGGGGATGCCGGCGTTGGGGATGGGGGTTGAGAATGTGGTTGCCAATGCGCTGGTGGGGGTTAGCACGGTTGTTTTGTGGGTGAGTCAGAATATGGAGGATGAGTATGCTTATAATTTGGCGCTTTGAATGGGAGAGGAGGGGTGGGGAAGAATGCGGGGGGGACGCTGAGTTGCAGATGGTGGGAAGCGGAGCGAAGAGGTTTAAGGAAGGGTATGGCTGGATTTTGGGGGAGATGGCAGAGGCGCAACGGGTTTAGGTATAATGTGGATTATGATCTATCTGTTTTTGGTTCGAGGCACGGGTGGTAGTCATACCTATAGGTTGCTTGGGGATTTATGCTATTGGCTTTTGAGGTCTCTGATTTCGATATGAGCTTTTGAGCGGTTGGGAGGTCGAACGCTGTTTGAAAGATCGTTAAAGTGGGATAAATCAACAACCGTCATTGACATCCAGGCAAGTGCTGTTCTGTCAGCGCCGATACTCCACGTCTCATAATACTTAATTAAGTAGGTACACTTCCCACTGCATTCTATGGACGAGACAGTTGGTTAAGTCTGATGGGAATGATGACGGGTCAAGAAGGGATCTGTGGTTTTGGTCATGTTGAGCCCCCCTTTTTTTTATTGGGGGGGGGGGTGGGGGGGTTCAATTTGAAGACTCCTGGTAGATTATTGTTACTTGTTTTTGACTTTCTTCAACTTCTTTGTTACCTTCTTCGACTTTTCTACGACATTTCTACCATTATTCGACGTTTTTTCAACCACCTTGTTTCTCGACATCGCGCTACCTCTCTGATTTAGGTGTTGAGCTTTGGTGAGTGGTCTTCGAGTGGCCGATAGTGGGTCTGACATTGAAGTAGCTATGTTGCACTCATGAGAGATGAAGCTTTGCTGAGTGATTATTTGGCTGTGGGCGTTGTATCGGCTGTGGCAACATCTGAAGGAAGGGGCTACTTATTTTACGGGTTGCTGTATATCCGTAATGGGATGGTGATCTATTATCTCCGTTGCTTGCTCGATATCATGGGGTTAGGAGATAGGGGGGGTTCATTTACTTGGAAAAGAGCTGCTGATTGAAGACGTTGATCTCTTTTGCCACATTTTATATCCTCCAAGCTGGTGTCAATAACATTGTTAGATGGTAGCTATCTACGTATGAGGATGATGATATGTGCTGAAAACGATGTCTAGATATGCTTGTTTCCCCAAAAGATCAAGCATGGCCTTCTAAATTACTGAGAGCTTGATGGCCATGGCAAATGTGGTGGTTAAGGTTATGTCCTGATATCAGATTTCAAGGCGTGCAGTACGTTGTGAGAAAGAGGAGCAGTTACAACCTAGGGTCCCGTCAGAGACATGGCAAAGACACGGGAAACCAGGAGAAACAAGCCACATCACTCGGCCCTTCTCGGGCATCAAGTGCCGAGTATATTTAGACCTTCAAAACGAGAACCCCGAGACAACATCATGACAAATGCTCCCATGGACGTCGTCAACGGGTGATGGCCACTGGCTGCTTGACGCTGCAGATGCCTTGAGACGGATCAATCAAGGGCCTGTTTCGCTGCATGCAACATCACTCATGTCCATGCCCGAGTCCGCGAGAGCTCCCCTAGAAAGAAACGTCTGCATACCGGGGCTTGTCTTGCAGCTGAGCTCTATGGACTGCCGGGACGTCTGGGACCTACAACGCCGTCATCCCGCAGCTCAGCGACATGCACGGTGACTGAGGTTGCACAATAGCAGAAACATGCTCTCAAAAGACCAGTCTCAACCACAGGGCAGGGCTCAGAAGGGCCCAGATTCTTTCTTGGGTTTCTTCTTTTATCACATTCCAAGTGATGAGGCGGCCAAGAGGCTGAACTCGAACCTGCAACGCCAATTTGATCGCCTTTCATGCAGATGCTGGTGCGTGATATGACTTTGTTTTTCAGGGAATATTTGACAGTTCATCGAGGAGCATCAAGCAGCTGAGTCAAGGTGTGGCAGGATGTCGGCTGCACGTCGACAGAAGCGGACCACCCAAGATGTATGCGGGTCTCAGAAGCAGTTTACCGGTTTGGACAGGCTGCCGGCGGCGAATCAACAAGACAATGAGGGAGTCTTGGAAGAGATAAGAGTCGTTCGAGACCGGGGAGGTAGGAAATACCGCACCGGTTTCCCAGTGATGTGATCCCTTCGGTTGTTGAATCGTGGATGAGCTCGGAAATATTCCCATGCGCCCCTGGGAAGCATTGAGTTATGGCACAGCAGAGAACAAGCCATGGGAAGCTACCCCGCGATCTGGAATCTCTTTTGAGCTTTTCTTGTGCTGTCCCCAATGAATGCTGTTGGTTCTATCGGCCCGGAAGATGGAATCTCATCATTCTCCACTCGGGCATCTGATGGCTCCAGCAAGTTAGCCCAAGCTCCTGGTCTGAAAGATCAAATCATAAACCACCATGCCGAAGCAACTTCTAAGAGCTCGGTTTCAAACAAGCCGGGCGCCCGTGGCCTTGTTGGGAATTGGGATCATGGTAACGGTACAATCAGTTCAGCGATGGCCCAACAAATACAGACCAGAGGATTGCTGCATCATGCAGACCCTCCGAGCTCCCACCTTCATCACCTTTTGGGAAGAGCAACTTCAACATCTGGCAGACAGCTGGCTCTGGTTCCTGTATCGATATTCCATAGCTTGGCATACACAGTGACTGAGGGCAAGCACAGACCATATCATGATCAGCACCAAGGTTGGCTCAGACCAGAGCTGGTCAGTGCGTCCCTGCCTTACCAGGATGATGCGATCTCGGTCTGGCTAGCTTGGAGATCGGCTCACCGACCACCACCAACCGTCGCTAGCTCGTCGTGCTGCCTCATCAAGGCCAACATGCAGCAGCCGTCAGTCGACAGTAATTAAACCACAGCAGCTTGAAATCACATGGCTCAGACAGCAACAACATCGTCGACGGGTAATTTTCCTCGCTTCCATGCAATCGATTTGACAGCTCCGTCTTCAGAGTGCCGCAAGTGCCAAAAGATGCTCACGAACCCCCTCAGCACGGCGAATACCGAAGCGTTGCTGAACGGTGGCATCTGCTTGCTATAATTGGCAAGTCACCTTTCCTCTGGCGGATGAATCTGGCCCGCCGTTTGGGCCTCACTTCCCACGCCCAGCGCTGGCACAGACGGGCGCTATCTCACGAACCCATCACGCCGGGAGTCAGCCGCTGAAGCTTGGGTGATTTCCGAGGAACGCCAGCTGGCCAGGGTACGGGTACGGAACAGCAGAGTTACAAAAGGCGCGCTGTCCTCCGTCAGGTGATCATGTATAGCTGCTCTAGGCCTCTAGCATCTCATCGAAATGTCAGAGAGGGGGGAGTCATTCTCCGGACGACCTGACTAGCTTTTTGCCATGCTTTGCTGTGCCCAAGGGCGTGTAACGAGCAATCGCGCCACAAATGGTGCCTGACATCACGAAAAACTACACGATCGAACTGCCCGCCGGTTTCACGACCGCACCGAGAATCTCACAAGAGGTCTCGGGGGTTTATGGCCCTGGCACGTCTGCGTACATACACATACGGTACCTGGCCGATATCCAAATCGAATCTGGCAGGCGACTAACAAACCTGGAACCCCTGGATTGGCAATTGCGTCTTGATGCCATGGGATGTCAGTGGACGGCGGTTGTCACTTTGACCCGGAGCTAGCCACAGGGTCAACAAGTCCCAGTGCTACTCCGTACTATCCCATCCGTCCCAGTTGCCCCCCCTATCTTTTTTCTGCTCTGCAGATGATCAAAAAAAAGTTGGTGTCTGCCAACAGACGGCCAGCCACGATCTACCTGGTCGAGCCAAATGATTAGCGCGATTCAACCGGTCATGGGACCTCGTTTGCACCCAAAAGGCGCTTTGCTGATCCACCTCCCTCCTGCGCAGGTCGCATTGGAAGAGCGCCGGAAAGCCAGCAACGGACAGAGACCGCAACACGGCTGGACACAACCGCAACGATGGAATCGGCGTCAGGCATCATCATAACCATGCAAGACTAGACACCAAACGATTGGACCTCTCTAGAGCATGGATGCATGTGAATATCGGCTCACGATACCGCCCAATCGGAGCCTGCTGCCAAACCGAACAAGGGTTTCAAGAGTGGAAGCTCGACGCCGACAAGCAATATTGACTGTTTGAGAAACGCACTGCGGTGCCTAGATCTCGGTATATTCGACGCTGAAATATCTTATTAGTGCTGTATCACTGCGCTTTCGGAGCACGGAACACTTGATCTGGCAGTGCGTGTTGTATCATTGTGTATTACCTGTTTGGGATCTGTATGGGCACGAAACGACAAGCTTCGTCAACCCCTCTCTGCCTCTACTTTTGCACCACCAGGGGAGGAAAGCAAAGGCCAGATATATCTCGACAACAGCTCAACGTCAGTTGGCGTAGGCTTCGACTTTTCGTTTCTGGCCAGTTTGTTGCCCTGAGGGCTCTAAATTGCTGCTTCTATAATCCTATTTCGGACTCACTGTCTACAGCGGTGTACATAGCTATTATGTGCCCCTCCATCCACACTGCCCTGTTGCTTGTGGTGGTGAGCTTCATCATGTTTGCCCCGCACAAGCCATATGCACCAGTCCCAATTGGCAAGTCTTCCACCCGTCATATCGGCGTTTCAACTCGGGTGCCGTGTTACTCGGGTCGCCTGTCTATCCTCAGGAAGCTATTCTATGACAGCTGCAGCTAAATGGGCCCAAGAAGGCGTGTCATCGACCTGGACCGTCCTCGATCTGCCTGACAAGCTTGCTCGCATAAAGAAGTCGTGATAACCAGCAGTGACTGAGCGACACGTTGATCCCCTCGTCTGGCGGCGGAGGCAATAATGAGGAGTTCGCTTTACACGCATCGGATTTATGCGAGAAGCCGTCAGTCCTCTTAGGCGATGCTCTTAATACCGGGAGTGCTTCTGCAATTTGAATTACGCAGTAAATTAACCCAGAGAGACCGCTCACTCACTGGCACCATGACTCTCCAACGGCTCCCTCTGTTTACTATGACGACCAGAGACACCGACTCAGGAATATTAGCGTAGGTGTAACAGTGCCCAAACGGGCGAGCTGGCTCAACTGGTACTGCACACCCCAAGACCCCGGGTTGATTGTGAGACGACAGAACACCAGGTATTGCCTCTCTCCCGCTGTCTGTCTCACATCTCGGGGACTCCTTCAACAGACACAATCCACTCGGCCCTCAACCGTGGCGGCGGGTTCGTGACGAACTGTGGTTGTCAGAGAACAAAGCACTGCGAAGCCCCACCTCGAATCTGATCTGGACATTGGGAGAGGGGGCATCTAGAAGAACCCACCCTGTCTGTCTCTGCCTGTGTCCAATCTGGCACTCATACACCTTTCAGACAGGCAGGGCTATCTTTTTGAAAAGTAGTCAGCCACTAGAAACAAAATGACGATTTGTGTTGATTCGGTGATTGAGCTCATACCTTATTAACTTCTCTATTTTAAACTTCGCCTGCCGAGTGTGTTTAGCGCCGGCTTTCCGTCTCAAAAATGGGCACATGAGCAACGGCCCCAGTCTGGCGGGATCTGGTGAACAAAAGGCCAGAAGCGGCCGCATCACATTGTGTCTGTTGATTCTGTTCCAGTTTACGCTTTTTCTGATTTGATCGGCGTCTCCCGGCCTCATCTCCTCCTCCCTTGGCCCATCCCGTGCCATTGGAACCACGCCAGCGACACCAGAGGGGCTGCTCTCCTGGATAAAAGCAACCCGGGGACCCGTTGAGGTGCATAGGAAAACCGAAATTCCGGTAAATACGCGGCGTCTTTCATCCCGGTACCTTACCGCGCATACACACACACATACATGCTCGTTCAACAAGTGGAAGCCAAACACCATAGAAGCGAAGAAGGAGACGGGACCGCTATCGTATTTTGGGAAACAGGAAGCGGACAACGAAGAGCTCCACCATCCGCCGCTCCGAATCAACGTCAGGCAGGCTATTGTGTTCCTGGGACTCGGCCGGCGAGAGCACACTCCCATTCGTCTTCCAGTCACCGGCGTGCCTGAGGCTATTTCCGGTGCCCGCTGCGGTTTCTGTCTGCCAACCTGAGAGGTCACGTCACAACACATCCCATTCTCAGGCTACTGTGCAGTATCCTGCACCTGGAAAGCTTTTTGACCCGTACCTCGAACCCTTTTTCCCTTCCCTTTTTTTTTCCACATCACACGGTACCTTCCTACAGACCTTACGTCCAACTTACGGCGTGTCCTGCGTCAGGCTACCTTACCCTACTTTATTACCAACCAAGCAGAGCAGCAGACACGGCCACCAAGCCAGACCAGACCACCTTTATCCTGTCATTTCCCCGAGTTGCATCGATTTGGATCACCTCCTTTTATTTTCTTTCCTCTACGACTGAGGTGCCCACAGTCTGGACTCTGTATTTCCATTTCACACAGCCAGATCTGTTTTTAGATCCATCTTCCTAGGTCTGGAGGCTTGCGGCTTGCACCGCCTTACAAGACACCAAGGTCTCCCAGTATCTGGCCAACCGCACAACGCCCAAATAAATCCCATCCACCAGACCAGCGCAACCGCCCTGCCGGCCGACTCCCTCGACTTTGGAGCTAAAGCCACAAGTGACGACGGCCCGGAGCGAACCCCTCACCACCGAACACAGCACCACACTTTCCGCTGCCAATTCCTCCAACCGACCACCGGTCCCTCGCATCCGCACGCTGCAGAAGACTCTGGTCGCAGACCGAGCGCACTGTAAGTGTAAATACCTTCACTTTTACTTTTTACAGTTGTCCCGTTTCATCCTCTTCCAACCTTGGGCCCTTTCACCGAGAGGTCCTAAAAGGCTCACCTGCCTTTGCAACCCTGCCGTTTCCCTTGCCCCAACCCCTCATTAGGCCTCCTCTGGTTGGCTGCGTCCATGGTGCAGCGCGCCAAGCCGTAGGCCATCTGACCTCACTAGACGTGCAAGAGAGAAAGTTGCATACGATGATGTGTGGTCGACTGAAGCAGCTGTCTGCTTCAGGCTCCCCCTGTTTGTTCTTTTATTCTTTTCTTTTTTTTTGTTTTGTCTTTTCTTTTCTTTGATAGTGTTGGATGTCCCATTGTCTCGGGCATTTGCAAAGTTGCAGCTTTCTTCACTCGACACTGCTGCTGCCGCTTCGACCAAGAGCACCTTGGAAAGCTTCGAGTCCTTGCGTCGTCTTGGGTCCCCCTCGGAGCCACTTGACCTGGCCCGGGCGCACTGCAGCAGGACACGCTAGGCTACCCTTGTGCTTGGTCGCCACCGCAGTGCCCTGTCGTTCCCCGCCGTCATTTCACTTAGCTAGTGCGCCCGCCCCTCCAAAACCTCACGTCCATTGACCTCTGAAATTCAACCTACCTTCCCGTAACCCTCTCCTGTTGTCGTCCTCTTCCTTCAACGCCTTAGTATTCTGTCTCCACCTCCGCATCAACCATCAACCTCGTCATCTCGTGCAGTTTGTCGCCAGCTTCGCGTGGCTGTTCTTTTTTGATCTCGAGCGCTCCGTCTAACAGCCGTCAAGAAACAACCCGATACCTAGTTCGACCTGACCCAAGTCCCTAACGACCCAAGCCCGTCTGCGCGATTCCCCCCGTTGCATCGGGTCCCGATTTCCTCCCCTCTTTCCATCGACGGGTAGATTCCTTCCGTCGAAACACAAGCCACGCTCCCAAACAGTCGGCATCACCGGTCACGAAACTTTGCTCTGCAAAACTGCGAGTTTACACAAGTTCGTCTTGTAACTGCCAATCCCTGGCGTCAGATGCCCCTCGAGGTTTCGACCAACCCATCTTGTAAGCCGGTCCCTGTCTCCTCTGCCCCTCAACTGCCATGACAACCCAATACTCCTGGCTGTTCCCAACACTTGCCAACCATGATGCTGCGACGTGTGCTTACGCGTTTAATAGACATCACCATCTCCGTACAGTAGTAACCGCTTTACCAACATTTAACCTTGCGTGTGATATAAGACCTCCCTAGCGCGTTTTAAAGCAACCATACCTGTCGGCGACCTTTTTCCCCGCCAGTGACCCGAGTATAGTACGATCCTCCACACCAACCCCGACGTGGCTTTGAGATCTTCACCATGGCGTCGAATCGTCCGGCAGCGTTCAACAATCTGCGGATGGGAGAAGTGATCCGTGAGAAAGTGCAGGATGGCATCACGGGCGAGACGAGAGACTTGACTTACACCCAGTGCAAGATTGTTGGCAACGGTTCCTTTGGTGTCGTCTTTCAAACTAAGTTGTCTCCCTCGAACGAAGATGCAGCCATCAAGCGTGTCTTGCAGGACAAAAGATTCAAGGTTGGTTGTGTGCTATGGCTGGGTTGTATGATTAATGGCTAACATGTTGTAGAACCGTGAGCTGCAAATCATGCGGATCGTGAGACACCCCAACATCGTGCAGCTCAAGGCCTTTTACTACTCTAATGGCGAGCGCGTAAGTCCTTTAGTAATACCTCATTGGAAAACAGATTGCTTACATCCCCAATAGAAGGATGAGGTTTACCTCAACTTGGTCCAGGAGTTCGTGCCAGAAACCGTGTACCGCGCCTCCCGTTTCTTCAACAAAATGAAGACTACTATGCCCATCCTTGAGGTGAAGCTGTACATCTACCAGCTTTTCCGGGCTCTTGCATACATTCACTCTCAAGGCATCTGCCATCGCGACATCAAGCCCCAAAACCTTCTCCTCGACCCTAGCACCGGCATCTTGAAGCTCTGTGATTTCGGCAGTGCCAAGATTCTGGTGGAAAACGAACCAAACGTGTCTTACATTTGCTCCAGATACTACCGCGCACCTGAATTGATCTTTGGTGCTACCAACTATACAACCAAGATTGGTGAGTGGACTTGTCAACAATGGAAGATTGTTGCTAACTGACGTGAACAGACGTTTGGTCAACAGGCTGCGTCATGGCAGAACTGATGCTTGGTCAGCCTCTCTTCCCCGGTGAATCGGGTATCGATCAGCTCGTCGAAATTATCAAGGTGCTGGGGACACCCACCCGCGAGCAAATTCGAACTATGAACCCGAACTACATGGAGCACAAGTTTCCTCAGATCAAGCCCCATCCTTTCAACAAGGTGTTCCGCAAGGCCGACCAACCCGCCATCGACCTGATTAGCAAGTTGCTGGAGTACACACCCACCGAGCGTCTGTCGGCCATCGACGCGATGGTGCAGCCCTTCTTTGATGACCTCAGGGATCCCAACACCCGCTTTCCCGATTCGAGGCACCAGACGGGCCAGCTCAAGGACCTTCCTCCGCTCTTTGACTTCACCCGCCATGGTACGTGTCACCAGACTCTGTGTTGATTTTGAACCAAACTTGCTAACAGAATCGTTTTCTGCAGAGCTGTCGATCGCCCCTCACCTCAACCACAAGCTTGTGCCACCTCACATGAGGTCCATCCTTGCGGCCCAAGGGCTCGACATCGACAACTTCGTTCCCATGAACAAATCGGAAATGATGGCCAAACTGGACTGAAAAGCTGGCCAGCGAGACGGAAAAAAGTTCTGTGTCGATTCGCGACCGTGAGAGCTGATCGTGTGTGGACACTTCGAGCTGTACTTTGACAGCAAAGTATCGTATACGGCCCAGCAAGGAGACAGCGGCTTTGGGTCGCTTCCCGTTCATGATCTATGACGAGGAAATGCCATGAGATACCCCGAGGAGCCATGAGTGTTGATGGAATTTAACGAGACGACGAGACTCGATTCCGGAAGGTTCCATCGATCCCAAAGTAGTGTCGAGAAGTGGCAGGATAGAGCGCGGAAATAGCAGGAGTTTGGGGCGGCTGGTATGCCCACGAGCATTCGTCCTCTGAAGACAACAGCGCGCAATAAGGCTATAGCAGGAAGGGAGGGAGAGGGGAGAGGGGGCGTGCTGAGGGAAAAAACACCAACCGGGCCACGTTTTTTAGATTCCGTTTCTGCATGACCTAGATGGCTTTTGCTTTATTTCGTGCCCCAAATATCTGGAGAAAGGCTTCTTTTATTCTTGTTCCTTGGGTGGTATTTCCACTGTATTCTCCGCTGGAATCACTTGCGTTGTTTTGTTATCTGTGCGGCCTCCCTGTCCTCGCCCCATCGTCCCTGTTTTTGATGTTGTTAGTAGGAAGGCGAATGATTCATGATGAGTGGGAGCGAATGGAATTATATGATTTGTCTTGTCATGTACTCCCAGCTGAAGAACCTAGTGGGCTGGCCTGCCTGCACTGGCTATCTTGGTTTGAGACTCTCAAACAGGAGCAATGGTAGTTTTGGAATGGGTAGCACGAGACGGCCATCGAGTTCAGCGCAATTCAACTTTTGGTTTGGGATGAGAGTGAGAAGGAGTTGGGACGGACGGTAAAGATATCATGTGGCGGGGAGCACCTGGATGGCATGGGGTGGGCGTTTTTGCCTGGGAGAGATGAGAAAAACGGAAAAGATTATCAGAGCAGGTTTGAGACAGGCCTACATGAAGAAGGCGATGTTGTTGGATTCTGTGGTTGTTCTTGTGCTTTTATCAAGGTTTTCGTTTACTTTCAGATTCAAAATATTTTCATGGCATGGCTTTGAATTGATGAGGTCTTGACACTCATGTATGGATTGATAAAGTGAGGTAATCTTCTACCAACTATGGAGATGGGTGAGAACGATGAATTACTATGTTCCAGTGTTACTGAGGTTATTCAAAGTGTAGAGAGAAAAGCCAAACACTGCATAATAACAGACAAACAACGTCGTCGTCGTGAATTTTGCTCCAACAAACACCCGTGACTTATACCAGCCTGTAAAGCCTCATTTTCAAGGCAACCACCACTCCCTACCGACCGGGATCACTTGCATCACTAGCTCCTTCCCCCGGTGGGTGGCCCCACAAAAACTTTCTCTCCAGTCCAGTCCCCACTTATTTCACGCTTTCCTCTGTCGCGCTTGGCACTGGCAACTTGAACCTTGTCAGCCTTTTGTTGCTGCTGTCTTCCTTCTCAACTTTTATTGTTTCAGAGAGAGCAACGAAAGGAAACAAGAGTTTCCGGATTTGCGCCAATCAAAACCAATCATCAATTGCGCTCTCGGGCTTGGATTGGCAGAATCATCTGGTTTGAGAGTGAAATCTATCAAAAATTGCGAGAGGTAGATTTCTCTTGCGACGACAACACCAAACCGGGAAAAAGAAAATAAAACTATCCAACGGGAGAGGAACAGCAGCATCGCATCCCATCAGTTGCGCAATAGCAAATCCAAACCATGGCCGACTACGACAGGAGAGGAGGAGGAGGAGGAGGTAGAGGTGGTGGCGGCGGTGGGTATAACCGGAAACGTCGTTATAGAGGTATGTTTGTCCCTTTTTCATCATCATCATCATCATCATCATCATCATCACCACTGACTGACACAATCTGGGTTAGATGACAATGAAGACGACAACCACTACCGCGGCAACAACTCCCGCCGCCGCTACGACGCGCCCCCCCACGTCCGCCTCCGCAAGCAGCTCATCGCCATTGCCGAGAACCCCATGATCGAGCGCCACGATGAGATTTCCCAGATTGCGAACCTGTTCACCGACAACTGGGACGATGACGTCTTGCTCAGAGGCAACTTCACCGACTTGGTCCTCCAGTTGTGCGTGGAGCAGCCTCTCAAAACCCCCTTTTTGGCGGGCGTGTTGATGGTGGTCAACACCAACAAGCCCGAGGCGATGGATCTTTTACTCGAAAAAGCGGCGAGGTTGATCGAGGACAAGCTTCGGGAGGGGGGGTGGAGGGATGTGAAGCTGTACCTGAAGCTGGTGGGGTGTCTGCAGGGCGTGTTGGAAGGGGAAGGGGTTTTTGGTGTGTTGGGGGAGCTTTTTGAACGGGCGGTTGGGTTGCAGACGGCGAGCAGTGAGGATACGATCGGCACAGAGATTGTCAAGATCATTCTCTTGACGCTTCCGTATGTGATGGCTGCTGGGTCGCCGGAGCAGGTGCAGCAGGAGTGGCAGCAGAAAGCGGCGGATTTGCTGGAGAATACGGCCATCATTGCGAGCGAGCCGCATCCGCTGCAGGCCGTGATTGAGCCTTATCATCCCGAGGCTGGGGAGGAAAACCCGGCGCAGTCGCAGAGTTTGATTTCGCTTTTGCAGGCGCAGCTGCAGGCTGAGGCGGCTCAGGGTTGGGCGTTGAGCTGCTTGCCGAGACCGTGGCAGTTCCCTGTCGGCGAGGTTGAGACGGTGGCCAAGCTGGCCAGTGCGAAGAAGCACGTTTTGCCGAATATCGTTATTCCCAAGACGGTGGTCAGAGGGCCGAGGCCGTTGTTCCCAGAGGTGTATATCTCTGTTTATGGGCAGCAAGAAGTCGAGTCGGTGCCCCCTCCTACCAGCCTGGCGTCGTCGCTCATCAGAGATGCACTGCTTGATACTATCAATGTTTTGCACTTTAATCGCAACGCCACAGCAAGACAGCTTATTGAGGTGGATTGCTACTTTGCGCCGAGGACTTTTGCTCTGAGAGGCACGCCGTTCGATAGGCTTCGGGATATCGAGAAGTCAAAGTCTACCTGGAAGCCCGAAGATGTGGCTGTTGATGCCGTGTTTACCCAGCTTTTCCTCTTGCCTAACCCAGAGCACAAGTTGGTTTACTACCACTCTGTGCTTACGGAGGCTTGCAAGCTGGCGCCTGCTGCTATAGCGCCCAGCTTGGGCCGTGCCATTCGTTACCTTTACAGAAACGCGCCGCGGATGGATCTGGAGCTGGCGTACCGGTTCATGGACTGGTTCTCGCATCATTTGTCCAACTTTGGTTTCACGTGGAAGTGGACCGAGTGGGTGGACGATGTTGAGCTGAGCGGCTTGCACCCGCGCAAGGCGTTTATTGTTGGCTCGATCGACAAGGAGATTCGGTTGAGTTTTGCGCAGAGGATCAAGAATACGCTTCCGGAGCCGTATCAGAAGTTGATTGGGCCCGAGAAGGAGAAGGATGTGCCCGATTTCAAGTTTGCCAACGATGGTTGGTTTTTCCCCCTTTTCTTTATCATTTCGAGTGTCAGTGACTAACACAGCAATTAGACACCCCCTTTGCCGCCGAAGGCCGTGAAATCGCCGCGCTCCTCAAACGCAAGGCCCCCGACGAGGAAATCGACGCCGTTATCCAGCGGATTCAGTCTCAGGCCATCGACCGCGACCTCGACGCCTTGGTGGCCAGCACGGACGTCTTTGTCACTTGCGTGCTCTACGTAGGCAGCAAGTCGCTCTCCCACGTCCTGGCAGCGATAGAGCGCACCAAGGACCGGTTGGCGGACGCTGGCGCGGCGAGCGACGCGTCGAGGACGCAGATCATCGAGGCGGTGATGACGTATTGGAGCGTGCACCCCGGTGTTGCGCTGAGCATCGTGGAGAAGCTCCTGAACTACTCCATCCTGACCCCGCTGACGGTGATCAACTGGGCTCTGAACGTCCAGGCTGGCAAGACGCGCGGTGAGGCGCTCGCGTGGGCTCACATGTACGAATTGGTCTTCAACACTGTCATCAAGGTTACCGGCCGGGTGAGGCAGCTGGTTGTCAAGGCCAGCCAGCCGGATGAGATGGTGGATGACGAGACGAGGGATAACGAGGTGAGGAACATGAGGGAGCTGTTTAGGGCTATTGAGGACAGCTTGGGGGCTTGGGCTGGCGGGACGAAGGATGAGATGCTTGAGAGTAATGCTCGTGGGGAAGAGGACGGGTTGGTCAGGAGGTGGGGGACGAGGTGGCTGAGGGTGTTTAAGCGGAGGCAGGCGATTGAGGAGGCGTTTTTGGTCGAGGCGGTGAGGGAGCGGGAGAGGAGGGAGGAGGTGAGGAAGGAGTGGGAGGTTGTTGAGCGGCAGAGGAGGGAGGAGAGGGAGAGGAAGGAGGCGGAGGAGAAGGAGAGGAATGGGGCGAATGGGGCCGAGGAGAAGAAGAAGGAGAATGGGGTGGAGGGTGAGGTTAATATTATTGAGTAGTAGGTTGGTTGCTGGTTTTGAGTTTGGGGGTTAGTGAAAAGAAAGGGGCGTTGATTTATTTGATTTTCCCCGGATGACAGCGGGTTCTTTGCGGTTTAATCGTAGGTCAAATAGGGGGCAAAATGGCCCAACTCACTAAAAGGTAAAAGGGGGTCAATTTTTGGTTGCTGTAGGAAGTGTAGTTTGTATCAATAGAATTATCTGACACTACCGCCATTGCCTTCTACCTTGTGTTCCAGATCCTCACCATTCGTGTTCTTGCATCATGTATTCTCATCATATTATGTACACTGTTCTCTGCTTCTCTAAAAATACACTACCTACTTATGTGAACGGGGTATCAAGGCTTCACCACGGTTCCTTTCTCTACTGTTTTTTTTTTCGTTCAATTCCCATAGAATAAACGCCCAAAATTCTCATCGACAGTTTTACCCCCCGGGATCTCGCCCATGATGGTTCTGCCTCGATGGTTCTGCCCTCAATGATTCTACCCATCAGGAGGGGGAGCACCATATCCAGGAGGCGGAGCACCTCCCGATGGCGGCATGCACCCTTGCGAAGGAGCCGGACCGTTGCAGTCATCGGGAGGGTGATACATTTCCTGGCCTCCCATCACCCCACACTCGATCGTCCTACCCTCGACGTGGGTAGCCATTAGGAGGTGGACCACCAAAGCCCGGAGGGGGGGCACCTCCCGGTGGTGGCATGAATCCCTGAGGTGGAGTCGGGCCGTTGAAGCCAACAGGAGGGGGGTACATTTGCTGACCTGGACCAACAGGAGGGGGCGGAGCAAACCCCGGTGGTGGGTGGAAGGGCACTGGACCGCCAAACCCGGCCTGGCTGGGGGGTGGACGCGCCGGGAGACCAGATGGTGGGGGCGGGAGGTTGCTCATACGACCACCGCCTCCGCTTGGCATAGCTGGTGGCATACCGCCGCCGTAGGGAATTGGGGGAGGACCACCGCGACCGCCCATGGCTGCTGGTCCAGTTGGTAAGGGCCCGCCGTACGCCGCGACTGGAACTGGCGGCATGCCTCCCGGCCCGAGGGGAGGGACAACTGGGGGCACCATGCCGACTGGTGGAGGAATGGCGGCCATGGAGGGGTCGATCATGGGCGGGACGGCGGCGACTGGTGTGACGGGTGTTGTGGCGGCGATGGGGGCATTCATATGGAAGGCTGGCGGGAGAACCTGTTGCTCGGGCACTATGTTGTGCTTCTTGCCTTCGGCGGCCAGTCTTCTTTCCGCCTCATCACCGTGGCGCTCGCCCTTGCCGTCCTTCTTGTACGCATAGTCTACACTGATAGCCTTGCTCAAGAGATATTGCCCGTTCATGTTCGCCAGCGCGGCGTCGGAGGCCTCGAACGAGTCAAAGCTGACGAAACCATACCCCTTGGAGATGTTGTTGTCGTCGCGCACAATGTTGGGCTGGCGGAGGATCTGACCGAAGGTGCTGAAGGTGTCGTAGAGGATCTTTTCGTCGACTTGGGGGTCGAGGTTGTTGATAAAAAGCTCGGCGCCAATGTCGACCGTCTTTTGCTTGTCGGCGGACGCCTTATTGACGCGGAGGGGCTTGCCGTGAACACGGATGCCATTCAGACACTTGGCGGCGTACTCGGCGGATTCGGGGGTGTCGAACTCGATGAAGCCGTAGCCTTGGTGGTTGCGGGTGACGCGGTCGAGGGGCATATGGACCTGGCGGACGGGGCCGACTTGGGTCATGAGCTCTGTGAGGAGCTCTTGGGTAAAGCGCTCGTCTATGTTGCCGACGTAGACGGTGGCATCTTTGTTTTGCTCCCTAAAAAGGAGGAATTTAGCCATGTTGAATCTCCTGATGATCGACATGGTGGAAATGTTTGCTTGCTATATCTGTGGGAAATGTTATGTGTTCGTGGGAAGACATACCAGTGTTTTGACATTTTGGGATTATCTACACCTGTCGTGGAGAAAGGGGGCTTGCTGGATGGCAACTGGGTGGTGGTTTCGTCAATTGTAAAAAGACGCCTCTCGCAGCTACCTTTCCACCAAAGAAGCGCGGTGCGTTGAGAAGTCGCGAGTTTTCTGGAGAAGGTGGGTGGGTCCGGCGGTTGACTTGCAGGGGTCAGCTTGCAGGGCGACATGGGGTCAGCCGCGCCAAGCTTTGTCCAGGAAGTGACCGCCCAAAAACCGATTCTGCCACTGGAACATCATCATTGATTGAGAGACTGCTCCATCTTGCAACCCCACGACGACCACATACCCCAGATTCCCATATCAGGACAATCACAAACCGCCAAAATGTTCCGTCTTTCAGAGGAGTCCAAGGTACGCAGACCTGACCGGCAGGGTTACGAGGGAATGAAGCAGCTGGCTAACCACGCAACAGGAGCGCATTGGCAAGCTCATTGAGATCTCGCGCGTTGCCCTTCACTAGTATGTTGGACGAGCCGGACAGCTTTAGCGAGCGAAATACTGACTGTAGCAGTGGCTATCTCCCCTTCATCCTCTATCTTGGTATGTCACCTTGTCTGGTTATCTAGCAAAAACATGACAACTGACACTTCACAGGCTACACCCGCAGCGACCCTCGGCCATCCATGGTCCGGTATGTCTCCGCCGACGCTTTGTCCTGACACCCGATCTTTGAACCTCAGCATCTAACTATCTCTGCAGCCTCCTCTCTCCCCTTTCTTAAGTAGCGACGATAAATACCTCGAGATATGGAAAGGGAACAGTGATGGACCGAGTGTATCAGTACAACAACTCAAAATGATGGCGCCGCGCTGGGAAAAGCGCAACGGGCAAGGAGCATCAGGAGGGATAAAGCGGGATTATGGGTTGGGGGTAGTTCGTCATCAGCAGAGCGAACGAGGGCGAGCAAGTGATACCATAACCGTGATTGTACATTATAATAGCAGACACAACTCCTGCATCATGAATCTACTCATGACTGTTCATTTTGCTCTTTCTTTTTCTTCCTCTTTGTCAAGCTAACGTGGATTTCAAGTCTTGGCGTAGCTATCACCGTCGCCGGCCAAACGGCGCCGAAAAATGCTTCTTAAATCCCGGTTTCAGTCGGCCATGCTCGGCCGAGGATCCCGGAAACTTTTTTTTGGGACGAACAGCAGGAACCCTTGCGTCATAGCTTTTTTTCCGCGACTCTTGATAAACAACACTCGCTTTTGCGCCTACACATGCGCACCGTTTGATTTTTGTTTACACGGAGCCGTTTGTTTACGATGTCATGTAGCTAGACATTTTCACCCCAGGTATTAAATGACGAAACCACCACAAGATGAGCGCAGCGGCGGTGGGAGGCTCTCCTCCCCCGCGCTCGTCGAGACGGTGGCCGGCTTGTCGGCCGGCACCATGGCCACCCTGATTGTGCACCCGCTTGATATAGTCAAGACACGAATGCAGAGTATTTTTTTTATTTTATTTTTTTATTTCTCCTCGTCTCAAATTTATATGACAAGGTGTACTGACTGGTGAAATTAGTCCACCGCTCGTCACACAGCCCTAATACCCCCCCACCAACAACAGTCTCTTTGATCCGCACGCTCAGCTCCAACCCGAAACCGCTCGCGAGTCTTTATAGGGGGTTAACACCCAACTTGATCGGGAATGCCACGAGCTGGGCGTCGTTTTTCTTTTTCAAGAATAATGTTGAGAGGGGGATCTTGTATCTCAAATCATCGTCATCCTCCCCCTCCCAGCAAAATGTGGGGGGCCTGTCACCACCAGACTTTTTTGTTGCCTCGTTGGCGGCCGGGGCGCTAACTCAGATTATCACCAACCCGATCTGGGTGCTCAAGACACGGATGGTCTCCTCTGACGCGGGGACAAAGGGTGCCTACCCTCACATGCTCGCCGGGGCTGCCGATTTGTTTCAGACGGAGGGGATAAAGGGGTTTTATAGAGGGTTGGGGGTGGGGATGTTGGCTGTTAGTCACGGGGCGGTGCAGTTTGCTGTCTATGACCCGCTCAAGAAGATGTACTCGGCACGGCATAAGGAGAGGAAAGAAGGGGATATGAGCAATGAGGCGACTGTTGTCCTGAGTACGATTGCCAAGTTGGTTGCTGGGGGGGTTACCTACCCGCTTCAGGTACTGAGGAGCAGGTTACAGGGCTACGAGGCAGAGGAGAGGTTTGGCAGGGGGATAAAGGGCGTGGTGAGGCAGCTTTGGAGGGAGGAGGGGATAAGGGGGTTTTATCGGGGGGTTATGCCTGGTGTTGTGAGGGTTTTGCCGGCGACGTGGGTGACGTTTTTGGTGTATGAGAATGTGAGGTTTTATTTGCCGAGGTGGGGGAGCTGATTAAAGTGGTTAAACAGATGGTAGATGACTGTATTATTTGTACATATATATAGGGTATCATTATTTGCTCTTGTCTATGGGTGTGGCTTTTGTGGGCGTAATCGGACTCTGAGATACATATAATATCATTTTCTGCTCGACAAAGGCACATACGACTATATGCAGCTGAAAATACGGCATCCCGTCCGCTCTGCCTGAGTCAAACAGCTGACAGCCAAACTAGTACTCAGGTGGGTGACCACTGGGGATTCTTTGGTGTTGTATGTTTTTGCTGTTTTGGGAGAGTGCATATAAACTCCATCAACAAGTCTTGGCAGCAGTCCCAACTTCATATTTCCACTCCCTTTTTTGTCCACCAGTCTGGATACTCATTCAGATTGATGATGACTACTCTCTGGAAGATCTTCCTGGTTCAAAACTGTATCTGGTATGAGAAAATCTCATTGCTGAATCATTAGACATCTATCTGACACCTACTCTCAACATGGGCGAGTGTCAAAATCAGTCAATTACTTTCATGGTATATAACTAAACACAAGATACAAACACCATAATTTTCTCTCCCCCAAACATACACACTACAACAAACAGTATCTGCACACCCGAGATACACATATATCTCTTTCTCCTGCAGCCACCAACCAAAAGTCGAAAAAGTTTAAAAATCGCCTAATGATACAACGCCATCCTTATATGCAAATTCCCACATTTCCCAGGCTTTAGCTTCCCCCCCCCCCTTCACTCTCTCAAACAAAAATAATGATATAATGTGTGAAGCGAAAAAGAAACCAAAAAAAATATCCCCTTTGCTTATACCACACAACCCCTTCCCACAACCTTGGTATATGTTATATGTTCCAAACAAAAAATAGTCAAACAAACCCTGCTTTTTGGCTTCTTTGTATAACACCCACGTCTTCCACCCGTGTATATTCCAACAACAAATCCAAACACACTTCATCAAACAACCCATATTATGCCCCCGCAAACCGGAGCCGTATATATCATGTGGACAGAAGAAAGAAAGGCTTAACCCTCGCAAACCCACTCCGCGAAAACACACCACCTAGCCGTCCGATCAGCAAGCACCAACCCCCTCCAGACGCCCCGCTCGCTACATTTGATAATCGTCTCCCACAACCCCCCATCCCCCGCATCCACCCCTTCCTCGTTGTGCAACCCCGACGAGCTGGGCGACATGATCTTGCCCGCGATTCCCACCCCTCTCCTCTCCTCCTTTCTCATCAACCTCAAGATTTTTCCTCCTGGGGTTTGAATCGCCAGTTTCGCCGGCTTGCTACTGCCCCCGCTGCTGTTGGATGTAGTCGTCGACGGCATGGACCCAGCCGCACTACTAGTCATGCTCATGGCACTACCAGGCCGCATAAACGGTATCGGGCTCGCGCCTCCCCTTCTGTTTTCCTCGGCGGGGGACACGGGCGTGATGGCTGCCGAGCTGGGATGTTGACGGATGGCGAAGACAAACGTGTTGTTCAGTGCTAACCGCTGGCACTGGGGTTGGACAACGTAAATGTCGTGTCTTTGCGCGTGGGGGGTGGGGTGGCGGGTGACGAATTCGTAGGGTGGGTTTTCGCCCGTGTGGATGACTGGCAGGGCAAAAGCCAAGGGATGGGGGATGTCCTTGATGCTGTGCATCAACCCACGCTTGCCGGCATAGATTTTCAGGACACCGGTTCCTTCGTCGCCGGGGAGGAGAGCCTTGACCGTGTACCGCTTCACGCTGCCATGCCAGTCTGCCTGGGCGAGAGCTCGCTTCTTTACTACATCGCCAGACTCAAAAAGGTCGCCGTCCATATCTCGGGAGTAAGCCCGGACCTCAACCTCGGCGGCGACTTCGACATCAGGAGGCACATTAAACTTAACGTGGACCATCTCGAGATCTTCGATGCGGACAAGGGAGGTGTTGTAGTCCACCATTTGCAGATCGTTCTTGAAGAAAGGCGGGCAAGCGCAGGGGAGATTGAGGAGCGTCTCGTGGGCCACGGGTGGGCACAGGTGCTGCTGGGCGTGGTGCTCTGGGATGTGCGTCCAGCAAAGCTCGGATGGGCGGACGAGGAACCACCAAGGGTCGGCGGATGATGAGCCGTGGCTCGAGTACAAGGCCCGCTTAGGGTTCGATGGACTGGCAAGGCAGCAGTCCATGAAGCGCCACTCATTATCGACCAGGACAGCGTTCCACCAGTGGTTGGATCTGGGCATGATGTTGACTTCTGGAATCTCTCCCGGAGTTTTGAGGTAGCCGCGAACAACCTCGCAGCCAAGGCCGACGGCGGCGCACATTTCCAACACCAGCACGGCATACTCCTCGGCACACCCACGTCGGGACTGAATGACCTGTCTAGTATCAACCTCGCCCTCAAAATCCTCTTCCCAGCAGATATGCTCAGCAACCCAAGTAAAGATGGCTCGCAGTCTCTGGACATCACTCCGATAGGGACGGCAGACGAATGTTGTCGCCAAGGTGATGGCCGTGGTCGTCGGCGCAAGATTTGTCAGGAACCGCGAGTTCTTGTCCACCTGGCTCAAGTTAATGGCATGATAGTTGGTCGGCTCAGCAACCGGCATCCCATCAGCCCCCTCATCACCGTCGATACTGCTGTACAGCTCGTCGACTGGATCAAGCGCTGGATAATCCAACATCTGACATCTTTCTTTTCTCTCCACCTTTTCGTTGAAGCTCAGCGAATTCGACCGGTTAATATCACGACGGACCTGCACCCAATCAACGCCGCCACCCATGCCCATGTCTCTGGGGGGTGGCATCTTGCTAGGGAGCAACGCGGCAGAAGACATTGACGTTAGGGCAGGTGTAGAGCGATTCGAGGATGAAAGGTTGGAGGTGCTAGCTCCAGCAGCGGCGATGCTTCCTCGCGTGCTGGCCACTCCCGTCTTGGCAGACTCCAGAATGCGCTTGATGAAATTCTGCTTCTTCGGCTTGGGTGTTACCAGACCTCCAAGACCGGGAAGCGCAGGCATGGGATCCTCGGTGAAGCCCAACTGTGACTTGGAGCGGCGTTGCTGATTCTGGTGGTCAGACGCGTGGCTACTGTGATAAGTCACTCCTGAAAAGGGCGTCTCAGGCCGACCGCTATCAGCGTCGTTTAGAAGCTCCCGCAAACCAAGCGCGCTGTGGGCCCTACTCCGATTCTTGCGTGCAAGGCTGCCGGCGCTCGTTGCGCTGATTCCTCCAGCTGACACACCGCTCATCAAGCTCCGATCGGTACTCTGCGTGTTCGATGAGCTATTTGTTGAATTGGTTTTGGTGGTAAAGGTCCTGTTGAGGATATTCCGGCCCACGCCTTCATAGCCCGACTTCTTGTGCCTCAACTTTTGCTCCGGTGGGGCATCCATACCCATGGAAGACTTTGGCCTGTCATACACGCTGCTCTTAGGTGGCGGTGGAGGGGCTTCGTCCTCTTCAGTAACGCTAGCATTATGCTGGTGCATGGTTCTGAGTCTGGATTCCATGCGCTCGACATAGTTGCTGAGCTGCGGGAGATGTGGTTCTTGAGAGCTTTCGAGTGGCGTTGGTTCCACAGACGAGTCGGCCGTACCGCTGTTTGTTTCATACCCCTCGTCAATATGAGCTGGTATCCCCATTGATGTATTGGGCCGTAGCTGCGAGGTCCGCTTCCGCTCCTTTCTTGAACGCGCATGCACCATATCAAACGAAGCAGGGGACCAAGGGTCCAACACAGGCGGTTCTGGAGATGGCTCACGGCCGGCACTGACAGTGGAACCAGCACCGAGAGCATCCAACTGCTCCATCACATCATCCATCGCTTCTCTCAGCGGTGATGGTGTAAGGCCATCGATACCAGGAGAGGGCGGGCAAGGGGTTGTAAGCGTCCTCGGCGTGTGAAAACCTGATTGTTGTGGTGGTTCGTAGGACACGTTAGAGTGATGTCGTGAAACGTTGCCCTGTCCATATGAAGCATTGGAATTTCCTCTCGATAGTGCTGACTGCTCCCTGGAAATGCCCGTAAAGTAACCTTCATCCTGAGAGAACTGAGACTCCTGCCGCGTGACCTTGGTTCGGTGGGGAGGCGGTGGTGGTGGAGGAGGCGAATCTGACCTATCAATGTTTCGGTCGAGACTTAGATGGTACGTGTGCTGTCTCCCATGCTGAGGAGGTGCTGGAGAGTTGTGCCTCTCTAAGCTCATATGATGTACATGGTGGCGGTGGGAGAGAGGTGGCCCGGATGGCATTGTCGAATCCACACTCTGGTGGAAAGAGCTCTGTTGTCTCGCCTCGGGAGGCCTGTAAGGGATGTATGAAGGAGTGGGCGATGGTGCTCTGGGGTCAAATCCATCATCTTGTGGGGGCGCTGGAGATGGCGCCCTTGAATCGTAGGCATGATGTTGCGGAGGTGCTGGAGACGCTGCTCTCATGCCGTAGCCACCATGTTGGGGAGGAGCTGGCGATGCTGCCCTCATGCCATAGGCATTGTGTTGCAGTGGTGCTGGGGAAGCTGCCCGCATATCATAGCCACCGTGATGCGGCGGCGCTGGTGATGCCGCCCTCATATCATAACCCCCGTGGTGTGGGGGAGCTGGCGAAGCGGCCCTCATGTCATAGTTACCATGATGTGGTGGCGCGGGTGAAATAGCGCGCGGGTTGTATCCCACATCCTGCGGTGGTGCCGGTGACGGAGATCTGGAGATGTAGTTGTGGTGTTGAGGAGGGGCGGGAGATGGTGCCCTAGAACCACCATGGTGATATTCCGGCATAGGTGAAGGGCTTCTTGACCCATAATTTTGGTGGTGAGTTGGAGCGGGAGAGGGTGCTCGGTGATTATAACTGGAATTCGAAGGGGGTGCGGGCGAAATCTCTCGTTGCCTTCTAGTAGATGGGCGGACTGGGGAGGTATTGTCCATCGAGTTGACCGATGTATCGCGGGATCGGGCGACTGGAATGGCATCTTCTTTCTTGTAGCCATCTCTGAACGTTTCTGGGACCTTTGCCGTCGTATAATGCGGCGCTTTTGCATAAGCCTCGAATGGTTTCCGAAACGTCCTGGATTTTTGTGGCGTATGCTTTGGACTTGGTGTATTACCGTTTGGCAAGGGGCTGGTTGACCTCGTCGTTGGGCGAAACGTCTCTGGCAATACTTCGACAAAATTAGAAGGAAACAGTCCGACCGCTCTTCTGTCGCGAAATAGACGACCTGTCCACCACGAGCCATCGCCGGCATTCAGACATTCAATTAAATCTCCCTCAATAAACCCAAGATCTCGCTTGCTCTAGAACAAAAGAACAAAACAATGCCGTTAGCTGAGTCCCCGAGCCGCGAAAAAAAAGAAAAGAAAAGAAAAGTCAACAATCGCATTGCATTGCATCGCACGAACCTCTCCTCCCCAAGAATAAACCGCCCTGACCCAGCACGGGAAGCGCGTCGGTAATGGTAATGGCGCAGGCACCATTTTTGCGAATCTTCAATCGAGTCGTCCAAGGCGGCAGTGACAGTGGCAGGTACAATAACGCAGCGGTCGGTTAGTGCCCCTGTACAGTGATTTGATGTCGATTGTCGTCGCTGCTGCGACTCGGCGCAAACAATGGTGCCGCGGTCGTTCGAGTGCTCGAGTTGCGGTGCTCGCACAGGTCGTCGTATGTATACAAATGCAGGTACACAAGAGGAGGTTGTTGCGCGCCAAAATGAATGAATGAATGAATGAATGAATGTTAATGACGGCACCGGCCTAAGAATCGAACTCGCCTGGAGGCTGGGAAGCAGCTGTGGAGATGTCGAGGAGCGGCGCCATCCAAGGCCAAGACAGGGCAGACGCCAGACCAGGACCAGTGGACAACAGAAACAAGGAACTTCACAGCAGCAACTTCACCACGCGACCACAACCAAAGTGACGACGACGACGGGCAGGAAAGAATGGAATACAGGCGAAGGGATCCCAGGCCTTAGTTTCCCCCACTATGTAGGTGCTCCTGGAGTTCAGTTGTAATAGCAAACGCAGATGAAGGGTAACAGCCGGGCGGGCATTTTGTTCAGGGCGGAACAAGGATCTCTCAGCAAATGGAGACGGCTGGTGAGAGCCCCCCAAGGGCGGTCGAAAGCAAGGCCCAAGCTCCCTCTCCAGCTGTGTCGTTGCGTGGGGCAACCGGCCACCACCCCACCTGAGCAAGGCTTTTCGGTAGCATGCCGCCCAAGTGCCGGGCATTTGGTTGAGGGTGCCGGTGATTGGCCCTTAGCGCGCTGTTCCTCGAGCTGCAGCCTGTGGAATGCAGGACGCTGCAAGCTGCGCAGTAGAAAGAAACGCCGGTTCTTCAAGAACTGTCTCGACCCGTCGTCCACTTTTCTATTCCCAGCCGTGGAGTATTCACTCAAAAAACACCATGATTCTGGCCCCATCCGCCCTGCTACTGGACGGGTACAGCATCTTCTCATCAGTCTTCGTATCTCGACCAACAACAACAACAACGCCAACGCCGCTGCAGATCCGGGCGGCACTCCGAAACTCGTCCAGGGTCCGCCCTACCTCCCGCTAGATCTTTAAGTAAACAATGGCCCGTGCCCGCCAAACGCAGCACCCGGACAACCAAGCCGCCAACTGAGAACACCAGATCCAGGGGTTTAATAGCGAACGGCTGACACAGGCCCAACGCGGGCGCTGTTTCCTCTTGTCCAGCCCAGGATCCCATCGACAAGAAAGAAAACCGTCCGAACTCCCTCCTCCCTCCCTCGCTTTCTCCGCCTCCGGTCTCTCCCGTCCCAACCCATCCCTTCTCCTTTTTCCCAAGGACTTCTCTAGGACCATCGAGGTTCGGTTTGGAAAGGCGACAACAATCCAAGACCCAGGTTGCGCTCGGTTGCTTTAATAACCTTGAATCCCCGCCTCGCGCCTATCTAATCACCCCGATCGATTTGCGACCAAGGGCAGACCCAACCCTACGAATACTCCACCATCCCGTGTGTGGGCTGAGGCGCAATGGCAGACGAAGGCGTCGCAGACCACTACCAGGTGCTGGAGGAGCTCGGCCGTGAGTGCGCATTGCGCTGTTGCCCTGCCCTGGAACGTGGGAAACTGACTGTGACGCAGGCGGTAGTTTTGGCGTGGTCTACAAGGCCATTGAGAAGAAGACAGGGGAGACAGTTGCGATCAAACATGTATGGTGGTTTTTTGTCATTTTCCTCGTCGGTCAAACATGTCTCGGGCGTTCTGTGGTATTAATGTCATTGTGTTGCGCACAGATCGATCTCGAGTCTAGTGACGATGATATCCATGAAATTCAGCAAGAAATATCCGTGCTCAGCACCTGTGCCAGTGCTCATGTCACCCAGTACAAGGCCAGCTTTCTCCGTGGACACAAGCTGTGGATTGTGATGGAATATCTGGGAGGAGGGTCCTGCCTGGATTTGGTATGCATGCACTTTACTTAATCGTGCCTCTTGGCGATGCCCCGTTCTAACAGTTACATTGCAGCTCAAACCGGGCGTGTTTCCAGAAGTCCATATTGCCATCATTTGCCGAGAACTGCTCCTTGGTCTGGAATACCTCCACGCAGAGGGCAAGATTCATCGTGACATCAAGGCTGCCAATGTCTTGCTGTCAGAGACTGGAAAAGTCAAGCTTGCCGACTTTGGTGTTGCCGCCCAGCTGACGCATATGAAGTCGCAGCGCAACACCTTCGTCGGCACTCCCTTTTGGATGGCCCCTGAAGTCATCCAGCAGAATGGCTATGATTTCAAGGCGGATATCTGGTCCTTGGGCATCACGGCGATTGAGTTTGCGACTGGCGAGCCACCCCATGCTCAGACACATCCCATGAAAGTTCTCTTCCAGATCCCTAAGCAGGACCCCCCGAGGCTCGAAGGGAAGTTTAGCAAGGAGTTCAAGGACTTCATCGCACAATGTCTCGTCAAAGCACCGCATCTCCGGCCCACCGCAAAGGAACTGCTTAAGCATCGGTTCATCCGTTCAGCCGGCAAAGTGGAAGCTCTCCAGGAGCTCATATACCGCAAGCAAGTTGCCGATGCCAAGACGGAGCGTGTGAAGATGCCAGTGTACTATCAAGAGACGCTGCAAACTCTCTCGCCCAAGGATGGGGCAGACGAGTGGGTGTTTGACACGGTCAAATCAGTCGTCCCACAACAAAAACGCGGTACGGTCAGGTCTAGAAAACCGTCTGTCGTTCACGGGATAGAGGACGCCATGCATAAGCTCGACGTCAAAGATGGGCCCCTCCAGCCCACCACCCCAAGTACCGTCCGGAAGTCGACAGTCCGCCGCCAGTCCCTCCGTCAAAGCCAGCAAGCCAACCGCCAGGTTTCCAACGGCTCGCCCCGTGCGTCTGTTGCGGCTAAGCGGCCATTACAACCAGACATGTCGTTTGGTAACTCGGGCTCGACTATGCGTTTATTCCGGAGGGTACCATCTGACACATCGACCAACCCTTCACATCATGGCGGTTCCTCCCCCAGTGACTCGTTCATCTATGACAACAGCGAGAACAGACCACCAACCTCGTACTCGTACCAAGCCCCGGTAGAACCGCACAGCAAAGAAGCCTTTTTAGGGAGAAGGCTCTACAACAAGGCTCTAGAACCCTGTCTAGACGAACTCCACGCCCAGACAGCAGGCTCAGCAAAAAGGGAGGCACTGGCGAGGTTATCTGACGCTTTGGCCCATCTAGATGCTGTCGACCCTGAGGGGTCCTATCACCTCCTCCGAAGCATCATGTCGACAGTATCTCAAGACACAAAGCTAAGCAATGCTTTTGTCCCGCAACTACCCCAACAACAACACCATCATCAACAACAACAACAACAACAACAACAGCAGCAGCAGCAGCAGCAGCAATACCAACAACAGCAACAACATAAACAAACCCTCAGCGAGGGCACCCCCCAAGGAGGAACAGTCGTCAAAGACCAAAGAACAAAGCCAGCAGCCTTGCAGCCACCACCAGGGTTGTCGAGCTCACCGACGAAGTTGATGATTTCACAGGATAACCCACATCTCGCGTCTCATAGGAGGAGGAGGGAGAGTAATATTGGTGGGGCGGAGAACGCGCTGGGGATCGTTAATGGGGGAAGGGGAGGGGGGTCGCCGGATAAGGAAGCACGGGAGAGAGAGAGAGAGGCGAAAGAGAATAGGGAACGGGATAAGGAGAAGATGGCGATGGCGGCGTTGGAGGCAAAGTTTCCGGGGAGGCCGGCGGTGCAGGGGATGGAGCATTGTAAGGCGCTGGGTGATTTGCTTTATGCTAGGTGGACGGATGGGTTGAGGTTGAGGTGGGGGGGTGTGGGGGGGCATTGACGGAATTAGGGGGTGGATGTGTAAGGTTACTGTTGGCATTCTGTGAGAGCGGGCGAGCAGGCGAGCGTTGATTTCACCCGAGACTGGACGATGGTTTGGTTTGGTTTGTTGTGCTGGTTCGTTGGTGTACTTTTGCTGTTCATATTTTTGAACAAACGAAGCTCGGACGAAGCACGACCACGACGAAGTCAAGAAGCTGGGATGATGATTTTCTTTGGGTCATTTTTTCCTTGCATTTCATCTCAACATTACCTTTTTTTTTTTCAATCTCATGGTAATGGCTGGACGGACCAAACTTGGGGGACATTTGCATATTTTCTGGAGTTTTTGGGTTGGGAGGCCGTAGTTGATGGTCAGCAGAAACAACAACTGAGGGATGTCAAGGTTGTGAAGGATTGCCGGGGGGGTATAAACGAGGCATCAAGAGAGGTAAATTAGAGTTGTACTGTGTGGTAATAATGTAAAGAGTATTATGACATGAAAAACACTGTCTTTGCTTTGTAGGTTGGACCTGGTATGGTTTCACTTCTCGAACATACGGTCTTCTGAGTGGATATGGTTTTTTGGGCGGTATTGGTTGCTTTCAGTCATCCAGTTGTTGATATGAGTCAATAGCACACATGACTGTCTTCTAACATGTTAAATGGATATGCCATTCTACTCTACATCAAGTAAGCTTTCCGCACAGTGAAACCCATGTTAAATCCACTCGGGTATTATGTTAAACCATATTCGCCACCACATCTATCCCTCTATATGTTGAATCCTTCTCATCTTCACCCCTCTTACATCTTTTCTGATATTTTCTCATCTCTTCTCCTCCAACTTGCTCTTACTCTCTAACCCATACCCCCCAATCCCCAAATTCCCCGAATTATAACTCAACCCCTCCGGCCCCCTCCTCAACTGGTCTCTCGGCCCCCTTCTATCCAAGTCCTCCTTCAACCACCTTAACACCAACTCCCCTAGCCGACTGTTTCCCGTCTCTTTTTCTCCCCCCAGTTTACTCTCCAACATCTCCTCCGTCGTCCCCCACTCCACCACCGTCCCAAGATGCATATGCACCAAATGCGTCGGCCACCCCGCCAAATTATCCAATATGTGCGTCGCATACACAACCGTGCACTCCCTCTCCTCCGTCTCCTTTTTCAAAAAGCTCAAAAACTGACTCCGGGACCAGACGTCCAGGTCGACGGTGATTTCATCCAATAACAGGATCGTCCACGGCCGGACTAGGCCCATGGCGAGCTGGACCCTGCGGCGCTCGCCGTCGGAAACGGCGTGCATCCTCCACCTGGTATCGATGTCGAGAACGGCGACGAGCTCGTCACGACGGTCGGGGTATTGGTCCCCGCCGACGGAGCGGAGGAGCTCGTCGACGCCGATGTCGGTGCGGACGATGGCGTTGAGGACCCATTCCAGGCCGAGGTAGGTCACGCCCTCGAGGCCGACTTTGAAGGGGTCGTTGCCGCCGATGGTGATTGTGCCTGCTGGCGCTAGGCGTTTTCCCGCCAAGAGGCGGAGGAGGGTGGTTTTGCCTGCGCCGTTGGCGCCGATCAAGAGGGTGCGGGATCTGGGGGGGAGGGAGAGGGTTATGCCTGAGAGGCCGGTGGAGTGGTCTTGGAAGAGGTAGGAGAGGTTGTTTGTTACTACCGAGGGGGGGCCGGAAGGGGGGGCCATTTTTGATGGTGTGATTGTGTGCTGCTGTCGTGTTTTGTCAAATTGATGTGGTGTTGTTATGGGATTGTGAGATGTAAAGGTGAGTTGAGCCTCAATTGCAGTGTGAAAATCTCACTCGACCACGAGGCTTTTGAAAGTTGAGAGATGGAAAGAGGCAAATCAGGTGATGGAGATCGCCTTTATCGCAAGATATCTGACCTTCCTAAAACAAAACCTTCCTCAAAAAAAAACCAACGTTAAAAACCTGCCACCGGATCCAAATCTTGGCCACTGCCTACCCGTAAGGTGGAAAATAAAAGACCGGAGTATCCTCTCCTGAACTACATCTCACCAACCCTCCCAAAGCTCGTCTAGAGAGCAGTTGGATTTGTCTCGAGGGGTGGAGGGGCAATAAAAGCGGGGCAGCTCATCCAAAGCTCCCGTCTATTCATCACATCACACAGAGCTTGCTGCTCCCTTCTTTTCTCTCACAAAGCTCTTGATTTTCTTGCCAATAGCAGAGCTTCAAACATAAACCACAAATTCACCTAAAACTATCACATACGACCATAGACAACTGAAAATACGGGATCCCGTCCGCTCTCCCCTAGTCAAACAGTTGATCGGCAGATTAGTACTCAGGTGGGTGACCACTGGGGAATCCCTGCTGTTGTATGTTTTTGCTGCTTTTGTCAGTCTATTTATTGAGTCTTGGCAACCCCCGAGTTCCCCCTTTTTAGTTAGAGAAGAAAGATATATAATTTTTACTACTCTTTCAAAAATATAAATAAGAAAAAAATTTTAATGTAAAATAGCCTGAAAATAACTATAAATTACATTTTTTTTTCTTTTTTTTTTTAAAAAAAAGAAAGTAAAAATTTAGAATATATATGTAGGGCCTTAGGAAAGCGATGCGAGCGAAATCGAATCCATCTTGGAAAAGTCGGAGCAAGTGTTGGATTTTTGAATTTTCTTCTCAGGGTTAGAGGTTTAGGTGGCCAGAGGGGGGTCCCTGCCAGATCGAGGGGGGGCCACAAACAAAACTCTCTTTAGTTACTACACAGCAAACTGCGGATTGGAATGTCAGTTTGTTAATTTGTTTACGGCAAGGCTGAGGAGCGTATCAATGGGTTGTAACGCGGGTTTATTTGTTCAAACTGAAAAGGTTCGGGGGGCTGATCTTGGTGGTATTTAATTTAGAGACGAACTGACTTTCATCAGGAGCCGACGGGCTTGGTTTCCTTGAGGTAGTTGCAAAGATTGATCGTCGCTGGCCGGGCGGTTATGGTCTCTTTGAGTGGCGTTATTGGGAAGTATACTGATGCGAGTTGTGAGGTGAGTATGAAGAGAAGAAGTAGAAAAAAGACAGGACAGGATCGCGTCACATAGCAAACATGATCTTGACCTAGGCAGGCAGTGAGTATTTGATGAGGCGCAGGTTCTCCATGATTACTCTCCCGCTCGAAGGCTTCTCAAAAAGAACTTGACGGTTTCATGCCTCGGAGTATGAAGCCCGGCGCCAACATCATGGTTCGAGCGGGCCCAATAATAGACTCGTTGGAGATCGGGTTATATCTCTTGCTTTGGACGGTTATTCGATATACGTATTGTGATGGGAACTGATTTACTTGCTGAACCCTACCAAGCATGGGCTTCTCTCCAGAGCAGCGTAAGTGATCCTTGAGTATGGCCCGGCTTCGATCATGTCTCCCAGAGTGTTGACCAGAGTTTTCAGCGCGACTATCAGTCATACCACGGCCACCAGGTCCGACCAGAGGGACTCCTGATCGCTAATATCGTTACAGACAATGACCGAAAGGGCGTCAAGATCCTTCCGGGAGAGGTCTTTTGCCGGATTGAGTTTGAAAGATGGGATCCTCTGCCCAACCGCCAAGAGTTTCTCCTCCACATCTGGACTGATCCGCCATGTACGCGGTCAGCACGAGCTGGATATCCAGACTTGGATGGCAAGTGGGAGGGTTGTGATGCTGAGGAGAGGAGCAAGGGTGGGAGGCCGACTAGGCAGGCTATTGCCAAGGCTTTGGGTAAGTCCATGAGGTGAAACAAAAAAAATTTCACTGACTTATGTTTAGTCGTGTATAAACAGTGGAATAAGTTGATTTCTGCGGAAGATGAGGCGGCAGAGGAGGCTGGGAAGCAGACAGTCAACCAACGGTTTGCAGAAGAACGTGCCGATAAGGCTCAGAGATTCAGTGAGAAACGTGAGTAGGAATGGTGATATTTCTTTCTCGGTCTTGGGGCTAATAGTCATTCAGAATCACGAAGCAAGACAATGCAGGCCGGCCTGGATCACGAAGCAACCAAGAGCGCCGAAGACATTCGATTAAACGCAAAGTATTACTTTTAACGGCCGAATAAGGAGAGATGGCTCATCAACCATCGTGGGAATGATGTGGGAATCCTCTCTCCTTGTAAGTAACTGATCTAGAGAGGTATACTAATAGTACGGTATATAACAGGCTCCTAGGAAAGAGGCATACCGGTTTCTCAAAGAAGATTATCCAGACAATATTGAGCGCGAAGGTTTAATCCGACATGCGGTTAGGTGCAGCGACTGTAGGTATGCTGGATGTAAGAAGTTTGATACTGGACGAGGTAATTAGAGAACTAATAACACTAATATTAATCTAACATATAACCAATGCAACTTCAACTTCCACGACTGCATTTATGTGCAGAAATTCGGGTTCTTGAAGGCTGCTTTGGCAGCGCATGCCTTCGATAGGGAACCGTACGAAGGACCCCCTGAGCATGGCGTTCCTAAGGGTTGGGAAGGGGTCAACTAAGCAAAGTAGAGTAATAGCAGCTTCATGGGTCTGTCGGTAGAATTTGGTTATACCTAGGTACCTCAGAGTCATTCAACGATACACAATCAAAGATGATCAAAAAAGAGATCGCATTCCTGTCTATCGAAGAAGGGGCGTCTAAGTCTAATTATCCATGCAACACCTCCATGTTGTCGAGCGTCAATCAAAACGGTGGGTTCCAAAGTGAAGAAAAAACGAAGAGGTACAAAGGTTTACCCCGAATCACCAAAACCTCCCGCTCCCAGCCATCGATTGCTTAACAACCATACTCAACAAACAGCCCGCTCTTGTCATTCAGCTCGAAGGCGACCAGACCTATGGCCGCAATCTCGATTATAAACAGCCTTATTCACTCGCAAGGAAAACTGGCGATGGTCAATTTGACCGCTTTTGTGGTCTTCTTGTCGGGCAGGGCGGAAGGAATCCGGAATGTACCGACGACGGGGCTAACTTTGACGCCGTGTTCGTTAGAGTGGAAATCAACCACATTGATGGGAAGGGGGCTACGGCCATCCTCAACGCCAGAGTCGATAATCGGATAGCCGGCCGGGAAGTCGGCGATGAGAGAGCAGGTGCCGTGGGTACCGTCGGGGAGGGAGAAAGTCAAGACTTCGGGTTCCACGGGTTCATTGGAGTGGGTGGCGATGTGGACCTTGTACGATTCCGACTTCACACGCTGGCAAGTGGATTGGTCGGTATGAGAGGTGGGGGCCGCAAGGGGAGAGGCCGGCAGCGGCTGACAGGGTGATGAAGAGGGTTGAGAAATGCATCTTGAAGGGTGCAAGAAGGTGGTCCGACTTTCAATTTGAGTGTAGGCGCCGGCCGAGGTCGCAGTTAAAAGTGTAAGGTAAGAGAGGCTTGAGGCTGTGATGATGTGAAATAGAGATGAGACTTGTTTTAGGGGAGAACCGGTATCTTATAGACATATCCTCTAAGGTCTAACTGGCATGATGGAGAGTTCATCCGAAGGTTGAGCAAGGACATCACCGCCTTTGTGCTCCTCACAGGCTAAATTCAGAATACTTAGATTTCCTACTGATGACAGTATAATGACTTTGGAAATTATTATATTTAAATTGAAGGTTAATTGTAA